AATTTGAAATTTTTAGGGGTTGACAACCTTTTTTTAACGTGTACATGGTACTATTTTTACTTTGTGGGTTTTAAATCATGTTATGGAAAAATTGTCTAATAAGTAACAAATAATAGCACTCATTGCGATCGCTCACAAACTCAAGTTGTAAATAAATTTCTGGAAAACAAGTCTCCTGTTAAAACAAACAATGCGTTTGTCTTATTGTTTAATTTTGCTTAAATTGGTTTAACTGCCGTCTTATTACTATCATATGGCCGAATAGACCTACGAAGTATACGAAGTTTTGCTATTCTTACTAATTAGACGTTTTCAGATCGACTTTACTTTTACATTTGTATAACATTAATTAATATTTAACATTTGTAAATATCAATGAATGATATACCTTTTTTTTTTCAAATTAAGGTTCTTCATTGTTTGATATTTACAAATGTTATTATTAGGTGAAAATTTAATTTAATAAAAACCAAGGTTTCCAGGGTGATTTAGCTGTACCTACTTCATCATTATCATTACAGCCCTTCACAAGTCCACTGCTGAACATAGGCCTCCCCCAAAGAATGCCACAAAGCACGGTCCTGAGCCACCTGCATCCATCGACTTCCTGCATATCTTACCAGGTCATCACTCCATCTAGTGGGGGGACGCCCTACTCTTCGCCTGCCGGTACGAGGCTGCCACTCGAGAACCTTTCTTCCCCATCGGTTGTCGGTTCTTCGAGCTATATGGCCGGCCCATTGCCACTTCAGCTTACTAATCCGTTGGGCTATGTCGGTCACTCTAGTTCTACTGCGGATATCCTCATTTCTGAGTCTATCACGCAGAGAAACTCCGAGCATAGCCCTCTCCATAGCTCGCTGAGCGACCTTGAGCTTCCTCATCCGGCCAGCAGTGAAGGACCACGTCTCAGTTCCGTATGTCATCACTGGCAACACGCACTGGGTGTACAGTCTCGTTTTCAAGTTTTGAGGTATACCTGACGAGAAGATGTGCCGTAATTTCCCGAACGCTGCCCAACCGAGTTGAATCCGTCGATCGACCTCTCGGTCGAAGTTGGACTTACCTAGTCGGACTATTTGTCCCATGTAAACATACTCGTCAACAACTTCGAGCTTAGTGTTCCCAACAACTACCGGCATAGGTGTGACATGGACATTAAACATGATCTTTGTTTTGTCCATGTTCATCTTAAGACCTATCCGTTGGGAAACACTATTGAGGTCATTGAGCATAGTGCTTAGGTCCTCCAGCGATTCTGCCATAAGGACTATATCGTCGGCAAATCGAAGGTGAGTGATGTACTCGCCATTGATGTTGATACCGTATCCTTTCCATAAGCTTGAAAACATCTTACAATACAGCGGTAAAGTGTTTCGGGGATATGACGTCACCCTGTCTTACACCTCTCTGCAATTGGATAGGTTTCGTACTCTGGTTCTGTACTCGGATAGCCATCGTAGCCCTACTGTACAAGCACTTCAACACTTCGATATACCGACAGTCAACTTGGCATCGCTGAAGGGACTGCAGCACCGCCCAAATTTCGACGGAATCAAAGGCTTTCTCATAGTCCACATACGCCAGACATAGTGGCAAATTGTACTCCTCGGACTTCTGTACAATTTGCCGAAGGGTATGTATGTGGTCAATGGTGCTAAAGCCTTTTCGGAAACCGGCTTGTTCGGGAGGCTGGAAGTCGTCAAGTCTGCGCGCGAGACGATTCGTAATGACTCTCGAAAACAGCACGTAGACGCGGCTCAGAAGGGAAATCGGTCTGTAGTTCTTCAAGAGAGCGTTGTCGCCTTTCTTGAAGAACAAGATCACCGCACTTCTGCTCCACGCCTCCGGTGTAATGCCACCATGGAGGACGGAATTAAAGAGCTTCTGAAGGACTTCAAGTACCGGTTTTCCACCCGCTTTCAGAAGCTCCGCTGTAATTCCATCCTCGCCTGGGGCCTTACCGTTTTTAAGGTGCTGGAGAGCCATTCTAATCTCGCTCAGACTGACGTCCGGGATATCATCGGAATAATGTCGGATAAGACTCGCTCTTGGATCGTTACTCACACTTGCGTGCGGCTCCAACGATGACGTGTACAGCTGCCCATAGAACCTCTCAATCTCACTCAAAATCTCAGGTGCCCCGGAAACGATGCTGCCACATTCTGTCTTCAGCTTTGACAGTTGGCTCTTTCTGGCAGACAGATCTCTGGCAAAGACTTTGGAGCCTTGGTTCCGCTCGATCGCTTCTTCAATACGAGCTGTATTGAATTTGCGTAAGTCCCGCCGCATGCATTTGGAGATCTGTCTGTTCAGTTGCCTGTATGCTGTTAAATCTGTTGAAGAATGTAGCTTCATCTCCCGTCTAACAGCCATGAGATTAAGAGTGTGATCGGAGAGTTTTTGTGTTCTTCTGCGGCGGGTCTTGCAGAACTTAGCTCCGACCGCATGGACAGTTTCCACGAGCTTGTCATTCAAATGGTCCACTTCATTGCAGTCTTCTAGGCACTGAAAACGGTTTTGTAACTCGAGCTGAAAGGTTTCGGGACTTTGGATTAGAGCACGAGGGGGACGGAGCGTTGACTTCATTAGACGAGACCTCTCCAACTTAACGTTTAGGTTCAGTGTGCCTCTAACCATTCGGTGATCGCTGCCGGTTTTCACCCTCGCGATCACTGAGACATCACTGAACAGTTGTCGTCTGGTCGTCATAATGAAGTCAATCTCATTTTTTGTCGAACCGTCGGGGCTCGACCAGGTCCACTTCCTGTGGGGCCGCTTCTGGAAGAAAGAGTTCATCATAAAGAGTCCCTCTTTCTCCATGAAGTCAGCCAACTGCTGGCCCCTTGGGTTCCGTTGCCCTATTCCAAATTTCCCTACTTTCAGCTCACCGTTCTCTCTTGTGCCTAGTTTTGCGTTGAAGTCTCCCATTAACACCGTATATTGGGTTTTGGAGGAATGCATGGCTCTAGAGATATCCTCATACATTTCCTCCACCTCCTGATCGGGGTGTGCCGAGGTTGGTGCGTAAACCTGTATGACCTTCAGCGAATACCGTTTGGTGATTCTGAGTATAAGGTACGCAACCCTCGTCGACACACTCTCAATCTTTACAACGTTGTTAACGAGAGACTTGTGGACGATAAATCCGACACCTCCTTGGGACAGATGGTCGCCCTCCCGGTAATAGAGCAAGTTGCCGGATTCGAGGATTATCGTGTCCTCCCCCTCTCTTCGGACTTCGGATAATCCTATAATATGCCAGCGTAACTTGCCTATCTCTTCTTCCAGCTCCACAATCTTCTCGTCAGTCCTCAGGGTGCGTGCGTTGTATGTTGCCAGGTCGAGTCGTCGTAGGTGGCAACCGAACCTCCACCGGAGATTCTTAGCACCCCCTGCCCCGCCGTTACCATGGTCGCCACCGTAGCCAGGAATAGCGGGGCCGCCGGGGACTGGGGGCCGTTTATTATTGTCATTGCTCATGGGGGGTATATTGCCATAGTTGCCACGCTTGGCGAGCGGGTTGGCAACCGCAGTTTTTTTTTTATTGTTATTTTGGCTATTATCAGAAAGATGCTGCTGCCCATCTCCTGCCTGTTTCCCTTTGTCGCCTTTTACGACACCCATGGGAAGATATGGGGTAGTGGATATTCTTAACCGCCACTACACGGTACCTACTTATATAAATGATTTTTTTATAACAACAAAAAATAGTACAAAAGGTTTGTAATCTCTTCATAAAAAGTCACTTTCTCTCAATTTCAAAGAAAACGCGTAAAAACACCCACTAAAAATAAGTATCCTTCCATTTGTAACTTATGTTTGATGTCAAATAAACTTAATTAGGTCTAAACAAGTGAAAAAGCATAAAAAAGAACATTACTTTTACACATTGTTACACACACACACACACACACACACACACACACACACCGTCGCCGTCTGGGACGCGCACACCGGCGCGCGCACCCGCGCGCTGCAGGTGTGTGCACACACGTACACACACACACACACGTACACACACACACACACACACACACACACACGTACACACACACACACACACACACACACACGTAAACACACACACACACGTACACACACGCACACACACACACACTCACACACACACACACTCACACACACACACACCGTCGCCGTCTGGGACGCGCACACCGGCGCGTGCACCCGCGCGCTGCAGGTGTGTGCACACACACGTACACACACACACACACACACGTACACACACACACACGTACGTACACACACACACACACACACACACACACACACACACACACACACCCCGTCGCCGTCTGGGACGCGCACACCGGCGCGCGCACCCGCGCGCTGCAGGTGTGTGCACACACACGTACACAAACACACACACACACACACACACACACAGAGTCTGGGACGCGCACACCGGCGCGCGCACCCGCGCGCTGCAGGTGTGTGCACACACACGTACACACACACACACACGTACACACACACACACACGTACACACACACACACGTACACACACACACACACGTACACACACACACACACCGTCGCCGTCTGGGACGCGCACACCGGCGCGCGCACCCGCGCGCTGCAGGTGTGTGCGCACACACGTACACACACACACACACACGTACACACACACACACGTACACACACACACACACGTACACACACACACACGTACACACACACACACACACACGTACACACACACACACACACCGTCGCCGTCTGGGACGCGCACACCGGCGCGCGCACCCGCGCGCTGCAGGTGTGTGCACACACACGTACACACACACACACACACACACACACACACAACACACCGTCGCCGTCTGGGACGCGCACACCGGCGCGCGCACCCGCGCGCTGCAGGTGTGTGCACACACACGTACACACACACACACGTACACACACACACACACACACACACACACTCACACACACCGTCGCCGTCTGGGACGCGCACACCGGCGCGCGCACCCGCGCGCTGCAGGTGTGTGCACACACACGTACACACAAACACACACGTACACACACACACACACACACACACGTACACACACACACACACACGTACACACACACACACACACGTAAACACACACACACACGTACACACGCACACACACACACACTCACACACACACACACCGTCGCCGTCTGGGACGCGCACACCGGCGCGTGCACCCGCGCGCTGCAGGTGTGTGCACACACACGTACACACACACACACACACACGTACACACACACACACACACGTACGTACACACACACACACACACACACACACACACACCCCGTCGCCGTCTGGGACGCGCACACCGGCGCGCGCACCCGCGCGCTGCAGGTGTGTGCACACACACGTACACAAACACACACACACACACACACACACACACACAGAGTCTGGGACGCGCACACCGGCGCGCGCACCTGCGCGCTGCAGGTGTGTGCACACACACGTACACACACACACACACGTACACACACACACACACGTACACACACACACACGTACACACACACACACACACGTACACACACACACACACCGTCGCCGTCTGGGACGCGCACACCGGCGCGCGCACCCGCGCGCTGCAGGTGTGTGCGCACACACGTACACACACACACACACGTACACACACACACACACGTACACACACACACGTACACACACACACACACACGTACACACACACACACACACCGTCGCCGTCTGGGACGCGCACACCGGCGCGCGCACTCGCGCGCTGCAGGTGTGTGCACACACACGTACACACACACACACACACACACACACACACACACACACACACCGTCGCCGTCTGGGACGCGCACACCGGCGCGCGCACCCGCGCGCTGCAGGTGTGTGCACACACACGTACACACACACACACACACACACACACACACACACACACACACACACACACACACACCGTCGCCGTCTGGGACGCGCACACCGGCGCGCGCACCCGCGCGCTGCAGGTGTGTGCACACACACGTACACACACACACACGTACACACACACACACACACACACACACACACACCGTCGCCGTCTGGGACGCGCACACCGGCGCGCGCACCCGCGCGCTGCAGGTGTGTGCACACACACGTACACACACACACACACACGTACACACACACACACACACGTACACACACACACACACGTACACACACACACACACACACGTAAACACACACACACACGTACACACACGCACACACACACACACTCACACACACACACACCGTCGCCGTCTGGGACGCGCACACCGGCGCGTGCACCCGCGCGCTGCAGGTGTGTGCACACACACGTACACACACACACACACACACGTACACACACACACACACACACGTACGTACACACACACACACACACACACACACACACACACACACACACACCCCGTCGCCGTCTGGGACGCGCACACCGGCGCGCGCACCCGCGCGCTGCAGGTGTGTGCACACACACGTACACAAACACACACACACACACACACAGAGTCTGGGACGCGCACACCGGCGCGCGCACCTGCGCGCTGCAGGTGTGTGCACACACACGTACACACACACACACACGTACACACACACACACACGTACACACACACACACACGTACACACACACACACACGTACACACACACACACACACCGTCGCCGTCTGGGACGCGCACACCGGCGCGCGCACCCGCGCGCTGCAGGTGTGTGCGCACACACGTACACACACACACACACGTACACACACACACACACGTACACACACACACACGTACACACACACACACACGTACACACACACACACACACCGTCGCCGTCTGGGACGCGCACACCGGCGCGCGCACTCGCGCGCTGCAGGTGTGTGCACACACACGTACACAAACACACACACACACACACACACACAGAGTCTGGGACGCGCACACCGGCGCGCGCACCTGCGCGCTGCAGGTGTGTGCACACACACGTACACAAACACACACACACACACACACAGAGTCTGGGACGCGCACACCGGCGCGCGCACCTGCGCGCTGCAGGTGTGTGCACACACACGTACACACACACACACACGTACACACACACACACACGTACACACACACACACACGTACACACACACACACACGTACACACACACACACACCGTCGCCGTCTGGGACGCGCACACCGGCGCGCGCACCCGCGCGCTGCAGGTGTGTGCGCACACACGTACACACACACACACACGTACACACACACACACACGTACACACACACACACGTACACACACACACACACGTACACACACACACACACACACCGTCGCCGTCTGGGACGCGCACACCGGCGCGCGCACCCGCGCGCTGCAGGTGTGTGCACACACACGTACACACACACACACACACACACACACACACACACACACACACACACACACCGTCGCCGTCTGGGACGCGCACACCGGCGCGCGCACCCGCGCGCTGCAGGTGTGT